CTGTCCTTGATGTAGAAGGACCACATGGGGATAAGCCATTAGTGGTAAAAGATTACAACATTGTCTGGTACAAGAATGTCTTCTTTTTCTCTATGACATGGCCATTGTCAATGCCTGGGCGGTCTGTTTTGGCCTTGCCTCTAAGCTCTTGGAGCAGTTCAGAGGAGGGGCTGACTCAGCTAGGAGCAGAGCTGCAGTGAGACCACCTGTTTCAGTGAGACATGCTCTGCAGAATTGATGGCACACCTTTTTGGAGATAACTGGTGGTAGGAGGAGGCAATGTTGGGTATGCTCCAGACAGGGTCTTGTTGGAGCAGCAGAAGCTTTTGTACTGACTGTGATGTCAGACTTTGCACCTGGGGGTGCTTTGAGATGTGGTTTTTAATGTGGCACAGGCAAAAAACAACAATAACAACTGATTTACCCTCTTGACACCCTGGAAAATATGTTACTGAGAGTAACACACATAAGAGTCTGAACTTTATACTGAAACTTCCAATCATTGCAACTAGTGTTAAGATTACATTTTATTAATCACATCATCACATGAGTGGCTGCTTTGCTGGCTGGCGGCTTGTAGGCTGGGCTCATGTGAACGTGTGCGTGGTCACAAGAATCAAAGTTATTTCCTCTTTTTATACAATCATTTTTAGCTTATTTGCCATATTTGAATGTCCATATTTACCATTTGCTTTGCATCATCCAGATGAAAATAGACTCTTCTTTGCACAGATTCCACATCATATCTATAGGTAGTCTACAACTTGGTGAAAGAATATACATTTTTTTTTTGTAACATTTAATTTTCTGTAATATAACCTGCATCACCGGTAATGGCACCAGGAATACGATGCTGAGCATGGAAATGGTGTCCTCTGTGGAGCCAACGCTCTTCCAGTCAAGGCTTGCAGACACCACATTCCACATTTGTATATTGATAGAAATATGGCAAAATTGCCAAATGAGTCTGGTAATCCTCCCAAGAGGTTTGTGCATTCGTACCAAATCTTTTTTGTCACCCCAGTCATGATGGTAGGTTAGCATCACCTGGCCTATGGCCAGATTTTCCTATAACGGTATATTCACATCACCCATGATGGTCACATTACCCGGATTGGAGTGGGTTAATATAGACACAGTCATTGTTATTAATGACATAATGATTATTCTGTTGTTAATATATTAATAGTAAAAACAGGTAAAATAGGTATGACTAGTAATTGGCTCCTTGGTGTCTTAACCCAATGCCGCCGGGGAAAATGAAAAAAAATGAGGAAAATGCTGTGCCCACTTTCTATGTTTTTTGTGAAATGTTTGCTGATAGATGGCTCTGCTAGCGCCTGATTTGAAATGGCGGGAAAAAAGCATTTTTCACTAGTGCTTTAAAGATTGATAGTGTTATTTTTATCATGAACATTATAATTATTGTAATGTTTTTTAAAATCAGTAATAGCAAAATAAGATAACGTAAAATATTTCGTAAATCAAAGAAAAGGGGAAACGGGCGAGACGGGCAGTACTCATACCTGGCTCTTTGATGATTTATTACAAGTGTTGCCATCTATACACTAAAAACAATCAAACAAGTACTCACAGTGGGCATAGCATGTACGTACACGTCATACCTGTCGGCATTGGGTTAAGTACATTTGAAGCCACGTATAAAGATTATTAACCCATTGCCGCCGGGGATGGCATGTACGTACATGCCATGCCCACTTTGAGTCGACTTGTTCGATTGTTTTTACACATAGATGGCTACACTTGTACTAAGTCACCAATGAGCCAATTACGAGAACTGCCTGTCTCGCCCGTTCACCCATTTCATCGATTTACGAAAACATTTAACGTTATCCTAATGTGCTGTTAAAAATAACACCATCTATATTTATAGTACTTGTAAGAATACGTTTTTTCCCGCCAATTCAAGGAAAGGTAAAATCAGGACTAGCAGAGCCATCTATGGACAGAGATATTTCACAAAAATATAAAAAATGAGTACAGTATTCTCCCCATTTTTTGTTCATTTTCCCCGGCGGCAATGGGTTAATAAACTAAAATTACAGTGTACATGGCATATATATTATAACATCCTAGCACTATGGTTTAGTTCCACAAGCATTATGTCATTAAAAATTTTGGTCAACTAAAATACTATAAACACTTATTGCCTTCTAAATTTTCTATACACCAGACTTTATGAGAACTGGCTAGCAGTATTACTAAAAAGGATGACAGACTTTGTAAATATACATATGATGAGTCACATTAAAAATATCTTTCTTGCAAAAAAGGTAATCTTAAAAGAAGACAGCATGTTGAGATATTCTTTTAATACAATGTAAGTACAAATTATGAATTTAATATTTTATAGACCACAATACAAATATATGCATAATCATTTTGAAATAGATTAACCCTTCCATTGTTAAAAAGCAACAACACATAATGAACAAGAATATTCTCAAAGAAGATCACTTTCACAATATTGACTAAAATATGTATGAATGACATTTGGGATTAGTTTGTACTACTTTCTTATTAACTTCACTGCTGCAAAGATCTCTAGAATTATCTGGGTGAGCATATCACATTAACTATGAAAAAAAAAAGAAATATAGAAAACAGGAAATTATATCAGTCACTACCACTATCATCATCTTTGTTTAATCTTGCCATGATGTTCGTGGCTGGGTTAAAGATCCCACCAGTATTCTGACCGCACACATAACATCTCTTAGTCTTCTTGAATTGTTCTAATGCGCACTTCTCACAAAAGTAGTGCTGGCATTTGGTGACAATGGGATCTGTGTAAGACTCCCTGCAGATGAAACACTTGAATGGCAAATGTTCATCATCACTTGGAATCTCCCAGTTCTCATCAGAATCATTTCCAGCCTTCGCATTACCCTCAGCTTCTAGCTGCCATCCCAGTTTGTAGTCAGTACGGTCATGAAGAAATTTGCAACTATCTGAGGAAGAAAGATGTGTTATTATCATTATTTTATTATATATCAGTAATTTTTTAAATCAAACTTTTATTATAGCTAGCAGTATTATTTCACGTTTTGAATATTTTCTTTTTCTATTATTTGTCTCATTATAGTTTTTAAATCACAAACCATAAACCTTTATTTACAATCCAGAAACTCCTGAAAAATTTAATTAAAACCTCAAGATCCATTTTTTGTTTCACACCTTTATATTGTTATTGTATATGAATAACCTCTCAAATTACATAATTTTATTCTTACCCATACTAGAAACAAATTTCATTCTAATATCCAACACTGCAAAATAGTTACTAACAGCATTAGTTGAAGTTTTGATAATTTTCTATTTCTATTATTTTTTTTATCATCATTATAGTTTTTAAATCACAAACCATATAACTTTATTTACCATTAAGAAACTCCTGAAAATCTCATTAAAATCTAAAGATCCATTTTTTGTTTTACACTTTTATACTGTATATGAATAAACTCTCAAATCACATCATTTTATTCTTACCCATACTAGAAACTAATTTCCTTCTAATGTTGGGCGTGGCATGTATTCTTGCCATACATGGCAACTGGGTTAAGGATAGACTATTCTATTAAAAAATTGGTCCCACGTAAAAGTGAATGTAGGGGGCATGTTCACAAAGGAACATGCTTTCTAGGCCATGGGATGATGCGGTAAAATGGCCAGTTCTTTTCCGCCCTGACTTTGACCCCAACATGCTGACATCAGCATATCAGTACTCATTCACAGCTGTGTCGACTGAGAGGGGTGGCAGCCGGGCGTGAACCCAGGACCTTGCGATTGCAAAGCCAGCACTCTACCACTGAGCTATACCACCCTCTATTCAATAAGTGAACTAGAAAACTGGACACTGTAAGGGCAGACTATTGCATTCTGTTACAGTCAATAGTTAACCCCTTGGTGACAGGTTAACAAAACTAAAAAAAAAAACTCTACGCTCTCGTGATCAATGGCAGCTTGCCGACTTTGAATGTGGGAGTTCGGTACATTAGGCCGAATCACTGGCTCACCGCGCTTTGGCGCACCGCCATACGCCACGGTTTGTTTTCACGCCTATGGGTGTGACCCGTTGGGAAGGGGTTAAGTGGTTTTGCCGGTTGTTTCTATGTCTATTTATGTTCAAGAATTCAAAGGAATTAGGTACAGTTACTGATAGACTCCTTGGTAGCTATCTGTATGCAACAAAATTCACATAAAACAACAGGGAGAGTACATAAATCTGTAGTCATCTGATTAACTCATACCAAGACGAGAGGAAAAAAACTAACCTCCAAAGCCACAAAACCCAGTTTCCTTGTAGTCCTTGCACAGATCTGGCTGGTAGTCCCATCTCACAGTGGCTCGGAGATGGTCAGGAGCTCTCATTGGGCCCTTGCGGACCCCTCCACTTGCTGCATTGCCCTGGGCTGTATCTTTCTTCTCAAAAAACTGTGTGTAGTTGTTCAATCCTCTGTAGATTTTGTCATCAGCTTGACCCTTGGTTTCCTGAAGGAACATAAATAACTGAAGAGAAGGCTAACTAGGCAAAAATCATAAATACAAATATATTTTTTTTCTACTGTCCCTGAAATATAACCTTTTACAAAAAAAAAGTGAATTCAGGGAACTTCCTGAGGTAAGAGAGAAAAGTTTCGCACAAACTTACTTTAACCTGTAAGAAATAATATACACTATTTGCTGAATCATATGCAGCTCATTACATTTGTCATTATGTAGAATGTGGATATGAAACACAGATATCAGGAGTTTACAAAACCCTTTGTGTGTATCCCATTAATCTACAAAAGTGTGTAATATGACATACAACTGTGAAAGGAAATAAGCTGAAGCTTTCATATTGTCTCTATATGGAGTAAGTTAGCAAGATTTAAACATATATTTCCATCCTTCATCTGGCAATCATCCATAACTGAACAAAATATCAGTGATGAAATTAATATTTTTGCTTTCAACACAGATGCTGCTGGGGATGG